AAGGAGTCGTGCAGACTGATCTCTAAGGTTCTTTCTGGCTTTGAATATTATGCTCCCAGGGTCTTGGGCCCCCCTCCCTATAACCAGGGGTGTGGCAACTGTCATGACAACAGAGCCTGTCGGGGCCCTTGGAGTGGGGTTGAGGGACATAGCAAAGGGACTAAGAATCATTAAAATGGAGTGGGGGAAAGGAAGGCAAAGAAATATAGTCCTGCAGCAGGCTTGAGGATTATAGGAACTATAGCCCTTATAAACCCTGTAGTCTAACCAGTCTACCTGGCTCTCCCTCCATGGCACTGATCCAGGGGTTCGACCCAAGGGCTGAACTCAAAAAACAAAGATATGAGGGCCCATTCTCACACTTTCAGAGACCCACATGCTTCTGAGGACCCTGGGCAGCCAGTGGAATTGTGGAGTGTGTCCAGTGTGAAAACATGCTAGACACCTACTTGTTGAGGGCAGTAGGCTTCTGACAGTTTCCCGGGCAAAACACTCTTGTTTGAAGATAGATGGGTGTGGTTTCCCAGTGTTAGGCCACGGGCAAGGAAACTGAACATTGCTCACCAAACCGTGAAGGGCCTTCTCCCCTTCTTCCCCATCGGACCTCCACTAATACAGAAGAAAACCACAGAAAACAAACAACTGCTATGATCTGGCAATCCGAAAACTTAGAACATGGAAATGTCTATTCAGTTACAGAGTTACAGAATTGTTGGAGTAGACGCTGTTTTTGCCGGAGTCAGATCAGTTTGTTTTCCAAATAGCCTTCCCTATTTGATGGTGCCAGCTAGGTGGTACAATGGATAGAGTGCTGAGCCTAAAGTCAGGAAGACTCACCTTCCTAAGTTCAAATCTGGCTTCAGACACTAACTAGCTGTGGGACCCTGGGCAAGTCACTTAAAACGAGCTGGAGAAGGAAATGGCAAACCACTCCAGTATCTTTGCCAAGAAAACCCCCCCAAAGAGGGGATCATGAAAAGTCAGACAATGGAAATGACTTAACACCAATAAAGTTTTGGCTTGGCTTTTCCTCATTTTACCTTTTGCACTAGCTGTTCCCAGTGCCTGGAATGTTTTCTCTCCTCACTCCATCTCCCAGCTTTCCTGACTTCCTCCACTACTCAGCTCAAATAACCACCTTCTAAAGTAGGCCTTTCCTGCCTAAACTACCTCTCCCATGCCCACCCACTGGCCTTTCCAATTACCTTCATCCTCTGGTATTACTTAGTTACATATTGTTCTCCGAGCAGAGTGTGACCTCCTTGAGGCCAGGAACTGTTTTTGCCTTTCTTTGACCAGTACTTTGTATGGTATCTAGCACACAGTAAGCCCTTCAAAGCTGCTTGACTGACTGACTGTTATTTGTGTTGATTGTTAAAACCTGAATTCCAAATCAGATTAATTCCCTAAGAATTTTTGTCTTTTTACTTTCTTCTCCCCTTCAGAACTGGGCACATATAAGCTTCTTGGTAGATGTTTGTTGAATGAAAAAATATCTCCCTGTGATCTTCCTTAGTCACTTTTCTTCCTCCCTAACATTTCAGATTTATACTATCATAAAAATTGTTTAAATGAATAGAATTTTCATTTAAGCAAAAAAGGAAAATTATTGGATTTCAGAGCTGGAAATATCTTTAGCAATCACAAGATCATAAATTTAGGGCTAGAAGAGAGCATCAAGTCCAACACTCAATTTATAAATGAGGAAACTAAGGCACATAATGGTTGAGTGACTTGCTCAGGGTCAGGCAGCTAGTAAGTGCCCAAAGACAGGATTTGAACTCAGGTCTTCCTGACTCCAGATGAAATATCCTAAGGAGTCATCTAGTGCAATGTCCTCGCCTTACAGGTAAGGAAACTCAGGCCCAGAAAAGATAACAATGACTTGCCCAAGATCACACAAGCAAGAAGCAGCAGAGCTGAGATTAAGACCAGCATCTTTTATTCTGAGTCCACTGCGCCAGACTCCCAGTCAATTTACAGATGAGGAAACTGGGACCAGAAAAGTGAAGGTTTGTCCAAATCCACAAAGAGGAAATTAACTGGAGGCAGATTTGGGGCTAGAACCCAGCCCTTTTAGTGTCACAAAGCTCCCAGGGCCTTTACTGATCATAGAATCAGAGGACTCGGAGCTGAAGCAAACCTCGGAGGGTAAAACCCCTTCATTTTTACAAATGAGGAAACTGAGATCAGAAAGGCACCCAGTCCCTCAGCTGGGTGATAACAGAGCAAGATTAAACACGTCTCCATCCTGACTCAAGGCTCTTTCTGTTTCAACTGCTTCTCCTGAACACTGGTCCCCAGCTGCTCCCATTCTTTTTCATTTTCTATTTCTTTAACATGGAAATCTAGACTTCAAATGAACAGCAGAGGGACCACTTCGTTTCACATTGAAAATTCCAAAACACGTAGAGTCCAAAAAATGTTCCCTTTTTGCCAACCCTAAATCCTTCAAGAAGAGTGAAGAGGGCACAAGTCAGTGGAGAACTCAGTATCATTGCTAAAATCAAAAGCCAAGTGAGAGCTAGGCCAGAGCTAAATTTGCCTAACTAGGGAGTTCCAGCCCATCAATTTGGCCAAATTACACCCAGGGAGAAAGGTAATTGACATCAAATAGTATTTGTTGTGATTGGTCTATCCTTCTCCAAAGCCAGCAACAAAGACCTCCAAAATGAAAGTGAGAGGGTGAACAATGGAGCAGCGGCAAGAGGCAGTCCCCACCCCAAAATGCCCATCTGCTCTTGGCGTCAATCTTTGAAGAAGGAGCTTCAAGAGAACAATGTCTCTGGGAGGGCTGGGCTCAAGCTAGCCTTCAGAAGCTGCCTGGCCTTTACAATTCTGCCCAACAGAGCTCTGAAAGGCGGGCTTTCCAAAGGTTTCGGTGTGCAAAATTATTCCTGCCTGGATCCCACAGATGTCAGCGGTGCTTAAATCAAGGCAGACTCTCCCATCGCCAAGAATTGGTGAAACCAGAGGCCAGGGGATGAGCATTGGATTGGGGCATTTGGGTGCAAAAAAAACAGGATTACAGCTGGTGTCCTTGGAACACATCCGTGTCCAAATTCATGATCTTATACTTGCTAGCTAGTTCCTTAAAATAAAGATGACAGGTCAATAATTAGCCAAGACAATAAAGGCTTGACTGAAAATCAAGCAAAGTCAGTGCAGAGATGATGGTCAATCCTTTCAAAGAGGGCTAAGGGCCTTTATGACTCAGTTGGACCTTGAGAGGGAGTTGATAACTTGAGAAAGACTTTCTAAAACTCTGAGGAATTTTAAGTAAGATCCTCTCTAAATATATATACATATATATATATATACATATGCATATATATGCACTCATAGGCAAAATAGGTCTTGTAAATAATCTCATTGAAAATGCAAATCCAAGCCTAGTTATTTTATTTGGCAATCAAAGCCAGTCCTCGGAACAATAAAACGCCTGTCTTCCAAACTTCAGAGAGACAGGCATATCAGAAGTTACTATTTTCCACAAGACAACAATATACAAAGGAGTCGGTTAGGAGAAGGGAAGGTTTTCTTGATCAGTTTCATCCAGAGCTTGGTCTATCCATGATTAGCATAACGGCCTTTTGCCAGAATTGAAAGGAAAAGGGTTGTAGGCTGGCTGGGAAAAACAAAGCCCTCCCCCTGATAACTGCTCTTCTTTTCCAAAGTTTCCCAAGCATTTGACATTCTCAATGGCAGCTCTATACTCTCCAGGTCCCCCAGTTCCTGAGGGGGCTTCCTAAGTTCCCAGGTCATTGAGCCTTCGACAGAAAGGGAATGAGAGGCAGGTGTTGTAAGCACAAGACATACTGGCCTCATATAACGGATCTTTTCAATACCCTATGGATTGAAGGATGGGCCTCAGTCTCCCCCTGAAGATTTATTCTCTTTACTCTCACGAGAAACAGAGAGGCACGACCCATCTTTCATGTTGCAGCAAGAGAACACTGACCCCAAAGAAAACAGACCATTGTTAAGTTCTAAGTGCTGAGGCCTCTGAGGCGTTTCTCAAAAAGAGTCTAGTAAATGATGATAAGGTCTCCACTTGTCAAAGCAAAGCAGAAAATGCAAAAGGGGTGGGGTGGAAGAGAGGCTGAGGAGGGAGCACTCTTCTTGCCTGAACTACACTGGGTTTCTGCAATTCTCGATTTTGCAAACACTATTGAAAACCTTGCTATTTACTAGCCCTTAGTTTGGCTAGGACGATTGGCAAGGCATGGGTCCCTGACACTGGGCTCGGAGAAAGTCAGAGGTCATTGAGTTCAAGACAAGCTTCACCAAAGCCACTGCAGACAGAGGCTCATCAGCCCTCACTATACACTGGCTTGTTTCCTTTGAATGAAGACAGATGCCCCTAAATGCTGCTGCAGGAAACCTGATTGGCTGCACACTGTGAGATAGAACATTTCTGCATGGAGCTGTCTCTTTATGCCTAAATGCCTGCATTAGTTTGGATCAATATGCCTCCAAAACAGTTAATCCATGCAAATGCAACACAGCAGAGAGAAATTGACAAAGAAATGCAATGTGTGTGTGCTGTTTCCAGGTGCACATACACATGAATTCTGACCCCTGGGGGAAAGGTGGTAGAAGCAAAAAAGCAGATAGACCTACAAACACACCAGCCCTGAAGGGCTTTGACGGCGAGGGAGGACAGCACTGGTTGTCAAAATGGCTTTAGAGTGACATGTCACCGTCAGGATGATGAAGTAGGCATTTTACTGACACTGACACTCCTCAAGTCAACCAGAGAACCCTCACACAACTGCAATGCAGCTTTTGCTATCCATCCTAGAATCCATACACCAGCCCCTTGCATTGCTGCAGCTGAAACCAGCCGGGTCTCGTGCAGCCACTACCCACCCATGCTCACAATAAGATTATCGATGCATAACAACGTCTGACGGTAGGAAATGGGAGGAAAAATAGCCGCAACTACAGCTAGAGAAATCAAGAGGGGGAGGGGAAGGAAAAGTCAAAAGGTAACTCACCTTTGACTTGTGTTTCATATTCAGCTATGATCTCTTTGTCTTTCTTGAACTTAGTTTGAGATGACATTTTCTGACGGGGCTACACCAACCCCGATTTGTTTTTCCCCCGATTTCTTCCCTGATCCTCCCAGCAATAACAGGAGTCAAGTCGATTTCCAAGGTTTGGGGACTAATCAGTTTCACTTGGCGGCAGAAAGGGAAAGGGGAAAAAAAAAAAACCTAGCTTGCAGGAAGAATTCTCTTCATTTGCGGGGTGGGGGTTGGGGGTGGGGAGGCAAATAATAGCTGGCTTCAGTCGGCTTGTCTTAAAAAAGAGTAGACATCCTCCCTCCAAGAAAGCACAGAAACCTGCTTCAGTTTTTCCAGACTTCTCTTTGAATGTATGTATGTATGTATCTCAAAAACATTCACGCGCACATGCAAACACACATACACACACACACAAGCGCTCACACACTCATTCCAACATGCACACTCACAATCGCGGTCTATGCACACACACCCTTGCACTCACACACTCACACACACACACACACACACACATACACACACAGAGGCTCCTCCTTTGACGTGCAGTCAGTTCCCAGAGCCGATAAGAAAAGCTCTCCAGGTTTGTCCAAAGCAATGGTCAGGTTGCCAGAGGGGCTCTCATCTCGCATCTTCCCTCGCTCTCTCCCTCCCGCTGTCTGTCGTCCTCGTCCTTCCGACGGTCTGATTTATGGAGAAGATCAAAGCCAGGAGAGAGAAATACAAGTTTTCCTTCTGAAATGCATGGGCTCCAATGACCCGGGGGGCTGTGAACTGAAGCTCCTTTCACTGCAGGGCTGACTCTCGCTCGATCGCTCGCTAGCTCGCTCGCTCCCCCCAGCACCACCAGCGCCGCGTCGCGGGCCAGACTCCACCTCCTAGATTTTATAACAACTGACACATTGTAGCCTACAGGACATCATAACTCATTGCAAGAGAAAAGGAGAAAAACCCCACAAAAGGGACGGCGGCCGGGAGAAAGGAGCAGGTTAGCCCAGACCGAGAGGCCACCCGGGGAGGGAGAGAAGAAGACTGCGGGTTCGGTCAGGAAAGCCCAGGTCTGGCCTTGGAGGCTTTTTCTCCGCTGACTTCGTCCCGTGAAAACTCACGTTCTTTATTCCCAGGAGACTTGAAGGCCGGGGACAGAAACTCACGGTGGATTTCACAAAATTTGCACCCGTCTCCTCTCCCTCTGTGCAGAGGCAGTACAGTGAAGGAGTTAGAGCCTTGGGCTGAGAGGCAGGAAGACCTGGGTTCATATATTCCACCCAGCTGTGTGGCACTGGGTAAGTTAGCTCGCTCTGTGCTCCAATAGCCCCATCTATAAAATATGGAAAAGAATGTGCTCTATACCTCTCAGAATTGTCGTGAGATTCCAAGTAAAGTGACTTGTAAATTTTAAAGTGCCATATAAACGTTAGTTATTCTCCCACCCTTAATCATGTCTACCCTTACCTGACTATAAGATCCTGGATTTAAAGCTAGAAAGGACCTTTGAGGGCATTGAAACCCATCTCCTCATTGTACAGAGCAGGAAACTGAGGCAGGGAGTGCTTAAGTAACTTGCCCCAGGTCACACAGTTAGTGTCTGAGCAAGGATTTGAACCCATGGAAATCCTTAGCCCCATGTTACAAATGAGGAAACTGAGACTCAGAGAAGTAAAAGACTTTGGAAAGGCTATATAGCTCTTATAACAACATACCCTCTGTGCCCTGGGGGGCTGGGGGTGCTTATGCTTTCCCATTTAGGGTTCCCTAGCTCTGGCTCATGAACAGACTAAGGACAGTTTGGCAACTAGGTAGTATAGTGGAGAAAGCAGATGACTTGTACAAACTGGTGCGTCTCTCAGAAGCAGAGAGGGCAAATGATGGTAAGGTCTCCATTTGTCAAAGCAAAGCAGAAGACACAAAAGGGATGGGGTTTGAAACCCAGAAGACCTGAGTTTAAATATTCCCTCAGATACTTAATGTCACAACTTCTCTCAAGCTCAGTTTCTTCATCTGTTAAATGGGAATAAGAATAGCACCTACCCCTCAATGGGTTGTTGTGAGGATCAAATGAGATATATGTAAGTACTTTATAAATATTGAAGCACTGTATAAATGTTAGCTGTTATTATTCAATTCTGGGGGAGCTTCTCCTCTAAAGAGAGGAGTCAGCCTCTTTTTTCATTGTCTCTAGCTCTTCAGGTATTTCCCCATCCCACCCCAATCCTAAAATCTAGGAGGAAATCAAATAAAGCATAAGTGTGGCTTCTATTTAGGGTTTTCCAAAAGGGAGTAGAAGAGTATTTGATGTGAAGTGTATTATCAGGTATAGGACAGCTATTTATTTCCCACACGCAGAAAAAATGCTAAAAACACAAAAGACTCATAAGATGCATTGACAAAGATATAAAGTGTGATATTGTAACCCATAACTTTTGTTAAATAATACTTTCCTAGGAGATTGAGTACTTAGTGGGACAGTTGACTAGGCATTTCACCTTCACCTTGACTCTGCAACATCCAAACAATTCCTTCAAAATATATGTCTTCAGGTCAGAAAGACAAGGCCCTGGGCTCATCATCTTTTCTGAGAAAAGTATAGTTCCTGCTGCCAGTCAACTCAGAACAAGGGATGGAGGAACTCACTGTCTTTCAGATTCAGAAGGTTGCCTCCAAGTCTAAAAAAATCCATTTCAGGACTGCTTTTATGCCACCTATTATCTGGAAAAGAGGCACAAGTAGAAAGTGTAGATGAGGGATCCAAAGCTCTGGCTCACCTAGACAGTTCCTGAGCACGATGACATTGCTACCACCTGAAGGAAGTACTCTCTCCTCCCTCCCCCAAAGGGAGTGAGTCCCAAGGGAGTCCCAAAAGTCCCAACAGGAGAGTTCCAGGCCACATATTCTAGAGAGAGGAAGAAGAGAGCAAGAAAAGTTGTCTCTCTCATTTTCAAGTCGAGTCAGCAGGCTGCTCTTAATAATAAAAACAACAATAAAAGCAGTAGCAACAACAACAATAATAATAACTAAGGTTTATATAGCCCCTACTATGTGCCAGGCATTGTGTTAAGCATACTTTACAAATATTATCTCATTTGATCTTCATAACAACCCTGGGAGGTTGGTGCTATTATTATCCCCATTTTACAGATGAAGAAACTGAGACAGAGGTGAAATGACTTGCTCAGAGTCACATAACTAGTAAGGATCTGAGGTCGGATTTTAACTCAGATCTTCCTGATTCCAGGTTCATTCATCTATCCACTTCACCACTCAGCTGCCTCTCTTCCCAGCTTAGTGCCCAATAAGAGAACTGTTTTATCATCTCAAAGCACAGAGACCTTCAGTGTTGAGCCAGAGCCCACATGGCCAACCAGAAGTAGCCTTGGGTACCTACAGATCGCCCATTTATGCCCATTATACCAGCAAGTGGCACAACTGTCATTTGAACCCAGATCTTCTGACCCTAAGGATGGCAAAAGCTATCTCACAGTGACAAACAAGAGCAGTGTCCTTGGCAATCGATACTCTCAGGAGCTGGCCACCCCTACTTCAAACACAGATTCCCATAGAAAAAATCAGCCCTCGGCAACTGTCTCCAGGATGCCTCCATGCTAAGCCAATGTGCCACAGAGGTGTAAAAAAGGTAGTAATAAAGACAGAGCACAGAGCTAGACCCAGACAGCTACAAGTCGGGGTGATTACCTAGGCCCCCCACTTGTAGGCACCAGGGATCTTTTAGCAGCCTGGTGACATGAGTGGTATGAGTGACTGGGGCTAAAACAGGTGGACTGGGAGGAGGAAGAGAGGATAAGAGAATAAAAAAGGAGGAGGCAAGAGGATGCTTCAGAAAAAATGCTGGGTTTGGAGTCAGGGATCCTGGGTTCAAATCCTCACTGTCACTTCCTAGCTGTGTAACCTTGGGTTAGTCATTTATTTCCTCAAGTATAAAAAAAATGACGGAATTCGATTAGGTGGGCATTGAGGTCCCTTCCACCTCTAAATCTCCATTCCTGGGATGAGAAGGAGGAAATGGTTTCGCCATCAGCTGGTGCTTTAAAACAAAATAAAAAACCCTGGGTGTAATAAATAAAAAATAATATAAAATAAAAATAAAAAACCAATAAAAAACCCAGGCATATCTTTTAGTATAGTGGGAAGAACCTTAGGCCCTTAGACTTGAAATAAAAAAGGTATTTGCTAGTTGTTTCAACTTGAGCAGAACACTTTGAGCCTCAATTCCCTAATCTGTAAAATGAGAATGATAATTCTTATACTACCTACCTCAGCAAACTTGTGAATTAGTATGATATTAAGTGTGCTTTGTGTGAATTAAGGTGCTTTGTAATCGCTAAGACACTGTACAAATAAACATCAGTTATTATTATACCCGCAGCCCCTCTACCCCCTCTTCCTTTGTCACCAAGGCAATGTGGGCTGGACTGGCTGCCTGGAAACTGAGTCTGCCTCCCCCTTATCATTCCGACGTCCTCTTAGGCTGCACGTGACTCTCTCATGACTTCTCCCCATTGGCTCCATTTCCTCCCCTTTGATGCTGGTCCCTGATTTGTACAATCTTGCTCACTGATCAATGTCTTTTGTTATGATTGAGAGAAGGGGGTTGGGAGGAGGGCAGACAGGATGAAGTATACGCAGTTATAATTTACCTTGTTCCCAAGGCAAGGGAGAGGCGTCGTTTGTTCAACCTAGGTTCTCCAGCTATGGAGAGATCATTAGTTATAGAATCAGAAGACCTGGATTCAAATCCTACCTCTAACATTTATTAGTTGTGTGACCCTAGGCAAGTCACATAACCTCTTTCAGTTTCCTTGTCCATGAGATGAAGGCATTAGACTTTGTGATAGCTAAAGCCCCTCTACCTCTAATTCTAGGATCCAAGTTATCCTGGGGATGGCCCTGGCCAGACATATTCAATTTCAAATGAGAAAATTCAGGTGCTTCTGCCTTTTCTTTCATTTGGGAGCGGGGGGAGAAGGTATTTCAAAGAATCTTGAAGTTATAAGAGAACTCAGAGATCACCTAGACCAATTTCTACCTGAAATAAGAGTGTCTTCCAGCACATCTCTGCCAAAGGATCATCTAGCCTATGCTTCATAACCTGCAGTAATGGGGAACTCACTACCTCACAAAACAGCACATATTTTCTCCAATTAGACACATATTCTGATGCCATTCTTTCCCTCTGCCTGAGGTGTAACCTTCAAGCAACAGACTGTGCATCA